TGCTTGGTCGTTGTGGCCGCATGGTGCTGTGCTTGCCTCAGCGTGTCCATACCCGGTGTGGCCGTTGTGGGCCGCATGGTGCTCTGCTCTGCCTCAACGTGTCAATATGTGCTTGGTCGTTGTGGGCCGCATGGTGCTCTGCCTCAACGTGTCCATACCGGTGTGGTCGTTGTGGGCCGCATGGTGCTGTGCTCTGCCTCAACGTGTCCATACCGGGTGGCCGTTGTGGGCCGCATGGTGCTGTGCTTTGCCCCAACGCGTCCATACTGGTGTGGTCGTTGTGGGCCGCATGGTGCTCTGCCTTGCCTCAACGTGTCCACATGTGCTTGGTCGTTGTGGGCCGCATGGAGCTGTGCTTTGCCTCAACGTGTCCACATCGGTATGGTTATGGGTGTGGGCCGCATGGTGCTGTGCTGAGCCTCAACGTGTCCATGTCGGTGTGGTCGTGGAGGGCCGCATGGTGATCAGCTTTGACTCAACTTGTCCACATGTGCTTGGTCGTTGTGGGCCGCATTCTGCTCTGCCTCAACGTGTCCATACCGGTGTGGGCGTTGTGGGCCGCATGGTGCTCTGCTTTGCCTCAACGTGTCCATATGTGCTTGGTCGTTGTGGGCCGCATGGTGCTGTGCTCTGCCTCTTCGTGTCCATACCGGTGTGGCCGTTGTGGGCCGCATGGTGCTGTGCTCTGCCTACGACGTGTCCATACCGGTGTGGCCGTTGTGGGCCGCATGGTGCTCTGCTTTGCCTCAACGTGTCCATACCGGTGTGGCCGTTGTGGCCGCATGGTGCTGTGCTCTGCCTCAACGTGTCCATACTGGTGTGGTCGTTGTGGGCCGCATGGTGCTCTGCTCTGCCTCAACGTGTCAATATGTGCTTGGTCGTTGTGGGCCGCATGGTGCTCTGCCTCAACGTGTCCATACCGGTGTGGTCGTTGTGGGCCGCATGGTGCTGTGCTCTGCCTCAACGTGTCCATACCGGGTGGCCGTTGTGGGCCGCATGGTGCTGTGCTCTGCCTCAACGTGTCCATACCGGGTGGTCGTTGTGGGCCGCATGGTGCTCTGCCTTGCCTCAACGTGTCCACATGTGCTTGGTCGTTGTGGGCCGCATGGTGCTCTGCTCTGCCTCAACGTGTCAATATGTGCTTGGTCGTTGTGGGCCGCATGGTGCTCTGCCTCAACGTGTCCATACCGGTGTGGTCGTTGTGGGCCGCATGGTGCTGTGCTTTGCCTCAACGTGTCAATATGTGCTTGGTCGTTGTGGGCCGCATGGTGCTCTGCCTCAACGTGTCCATACCGGTGTGGCCGTTGTGGGCCGCATGGTGCTGTGCTTTGCCCCAACGTGTCCATACCGGTGTGGTCGTTGTGGGCCGCATGGTGCTGTGCTCTGCCCCAACGTGTCCATGTCGGTGTGGTCGTTGTGGGCCGCATGGTGCTGTGCTTTGCCTCAACTTGTCCATACCGGTGTGGCCG